ACTATATATATATATATATATATATATATATATATATATATATATATATATATACAACAAGCAATATAAAGTGAGAAAATACCATCATAATAATAAACAAAAAGACTGTATGTCTTGTCACATGTGTCATTACTCACGTGATTGACTTGCAAGACACATATGACTAGCAAATACCCCATTGAGTGAAGGGCTATATGCAATCAATCAAACTCAAAGAGATTGGCAGTTGATGTTATATACACATAAACCTCTAGCACCTATCACATTTTTGGGCATAGGCTTTACGTCCTTGCATAATGTTGATCAATAAAACCTTTATCGAAGTACTTTGAAGGTGAGAGTTCATCTGCCAATGTGCTCCTCATATATACCATCATGCACCTCGACCAGCACCCATCTCGATTTCCTGAGATGTTAGACATATGAAAAATGATTAACTAAAAGACGTACGGTACAAGCAATTATTAATTAGGTAATATTATGCTGGATAATACTTGACTTTTCAAGTTGACACATGGTCTATTTAGAGTGTTCCGTCTTTTTTGAAGCATAGGATTTGGTCTATCCTACTTGCTCTTCCCAACTATCATTTGTAGCTCGAACTAATGCTAGTATAGTAAGCACATCGATCTAGACATTCTCTTCATGGGAAACCTATAACACACGTTAAGTTGAAAGAAACTAGTGGTTAGTTTCGACACCTCGACAATATATTTTGCTATGATTGTATCTCGGGGCTCATAGTTCATTTTCACTTAGTTTACGACTAACTATGAGTTGCTAAATATCATTAGGTATTAAACTTAAAGTTCTCGGGTGAGTTGAAGACTATAAAGAGGTGTCGTGTACTTAGATTTTATTATTAGAAATCTTAAACTTAAACTAGAGAGCTTACTTATACGAGTCCGATGCATCTCCCATTGAGGTGACAGAACTATCCACGAACAATGTGTATGCAGATATGGTGTTTGTTGAACGAAGGAAGAGTCATTTCTATTGATCACCTCCGACCCGAGATATCATACTGCGAGAGAATTTACTTCAATGATTCGTCAATCATCACCTATATAGCATATGCCTGAAAATAGGGTTGAAGTTTCGTTGCTATCAAGACCAGCACAAATACAATTCCATTGCCCTGCGTGTGTGACCGATGATAAAAAAGATCATCATCAAAGTACCCCGGACGAAGGATCTCCACCGTTAACTTAGGAAAACTGGACCGTTAGATTAGGTTTAGTACTCCGACTCCAACAGGGCCACAGCCGAGTCACTCATTGGCACCGCCGCACGCGGTTAACCGCACCCCTTTTGAAAACCCTCGAGAACCCTATTCCGTCCGCGTCGGTCGCTTGTGAACACTTCGTCGTCGCCATCTCTCACATCCCCTCCTCTCCCACGGCGGTTCTCTAATGGATCCCGAGTTCCTATTCGACGGGGCGAGCTCCGACGAGGAGGCGGGGGTTGAAGAGAGGGCGGCCCAGTCCCCGTGGGAGTTCGCCTCTTACTCGGAGTCCGTTGCCGAGGAACACGCCCGCAGGAACACTACCTCCATCGACGCCAAGATCACCAAGGCCCTCCAGGAGCGCGCCGTTTCTCTTCCCGAAGATGGAGACGGTGAAGAGGCGGAGGAGGAGCCGGAACTCAGTGACGAGATTCTTTTTGGTGACGAACTTGGGAAACAAGTGAGTCGTTCCGTTTGAACCCATCTTCTTCTTCTTGCTCTTTGCCGTTGTGGTTTCTCTTGGAAAAATAAGGTTTTCTTTTGTCTTTCTTTCTACTTCCTCTGCACGATTAGGTTGAATGATGCCGCCAACCATTCTTCTTGGTGTACTGCAAGATGCAGACACGGTCGCAAGACTTGTATTTTGTTTTTTGGAAACTATGTTTGTTGTTTCCGAAAACATTGGAAGTATTCCATGTCATAGAGACTCATTAGTTTCGAAGGGAAGATCGTTAGACACATCAATCACCAAAATGCCGGGTTTATTGTTTTAAGGAATTGTAATATTAGCATGGAAATTGCAGCCGTAGCTCAAAATAGTGTTGTTTAACTTCTGTACGAGATGTTGCAATTTGGTACTCCACACTGGTTCATTGTCTTGGAGAAGTAATTAATACGCCCACATAATATGAGATCACTAATCAGCAAAGAAAAGTCTGGTGTCAAATGCACAAGAAGAATGAACAAAAGAGGTACCATGTGAGGGTCCTGCAATGATGTGCTGTGTTAATATTTGTAGGAAAGTGTGGTAATTTGGATTTTGGTGTCCTAACAAATTTTGATTAGGTTAATCTTGATATAATCTCTCTCTTCATTTAAATGTGATGTAAATGCTTAATTGTTGTTCTAAAAATTTCATATGGAGACCATGGCAACTAAGGCTGGTTATAAGGGTGAATGCAAAGAGAAACTGTAGATTGATGCAGTACTATGGTGCCTTAGCATGAATGCTGTGATTTTTTAGTTTTTGAGCTCTTTCTCTGCCAATTTTGCTTTTATATATCCGTAGAGAAAAATTGTCATTTGAAGTTTCAACTTCACTTGAACTGCTGTCAAGATGTTTTAATTATCTGTATAATTTTTTAAAAGCTGTAATTTAAAGTTTGAACTGCGCCTGAGATGTCGATTTTGTATCTTACAGCTGTTTTTTTAATCCTCAGGTGAATCATAAATCTCGTAAGGCTGATGGTGGAAATTCGGGTGCGAGGGCTCATTCTTTTTTTGCATCACATGAAGGAGCGTCCTTCCATGCAAATTCTTTCCTCGAATTAAATCTGTCTCGCCCTTTAGTTAGAGCATGTGAAGCCTTGGGATATCAGAAGCCAACACCCATCCAGGTTCTGTTTGTCGTTAATGAATATATTTGATTCACTATGCTTGCCATGATTTTGTTCGAGTTACACAAGTTAGTTTCTTTCTGAAGGGTCATGGGTACTAACTGCATCCAAATAAGGTAACTGCATCCAAATAAGGTCTCACAGTTCATATACCATACTGCTTATGCCATGTATAGTTGCACATTGTTATTTCTTAACTGGAACTACTTTTCTTTTCTATCTAAACTTTGTGATTTACCAAATTTAGTTGTTCTGATATATTCTGTGGATATAACATATGAGGCTTTGATGAAAATGAAGTAGTTAGTTGTAGGACAGTCCATGTAGGTTGCACAAAGTGAGAGATTGCTTAAAGGTCTACACAACAAAAATGTCATGCAAATAATAGAGGTGGAAAGGCTTGAGTTCTACCACATGTTGGTCGATGAGGAGGAAGGCCTAAAATTGCTGAAAACAGTTTTTGCCCTAAAAAGAAAGCGAAAAAAACTTATAAATAGTTTACAACACTCTGCTGATGCTTTGGCTACCCATGCTGTTTGGTTGATACAAGCTAGGACATGTAGGTCAATTGTTGGACAAAGGCTATGGTGTCCTTGCAAAATACTTCTGTGAAGATTTAGGGTCATATTGATGATCGTTGAAAAGTGAGTGACACGTGCTTGAATGCTTTTATTTTGACTTTAACCCAGTAACTAAGATCATTGTAATATGCTTGGAAAAAAAGAAAAAAAGATGCAATAACTCGGTACTAAACCTATTGCTGACTATTTGGTTTTGATTTTAATCCAAAATGAATTCTATTATAGTTTTCCAACTTGATCTGATTGCATCAGACATCCTTCAACTAGAATGAAAGTAACTAACAGTGAGGCTTTTAAGATGAGCAAAAAATTACACTAAGAAGTTTTTTGCTGGAAATGTTGACAAGAATAACAGAGGCGATTTAGACTTACCGTGATCTGGATTGATTTTCTGCTTTTTTAGCTGCCCTTTTGTTGTGCATCAACAAAAGGATTTCAGAAAGCCTTGGAGGTTGCGGTTGGAAAGTTTAATTTATTTATATGAAATACAAATGAAATAGAAAGATCATATGAATTATCTTGGTTAAACAAAAGTTGAAACTTGACAAGCTTATTTAACTTGTCTTTTCATGAGATCGTAGATGATACTTTCTCCAAACATTTCACTGATAAGAGTTCAGAAATTCCAACTTTTTTATTAGTGGATAGCAATTAAGTTTTTTCTAAGGTGCAGCATAGAGGATTATGAAATATAGATGAAAGATTAGGATCATCACCAATTTCACGTGCCTGAGTTAGTTCCATGGCAATCATACAATGCATTGCTTGTAGAGTACATAATCAAAGTGTGATGCCAAACTTGTGCTTCTGTGCTAGATGTGGGCATGTGAGGGATAGTTGTGGGGCATGTTACTGATTTGTCTAAAATTCTATAACTTATATTGTTTATGTATCCTGTCATTTGTTTTATTCTGATTTCTCTCTGTGTGGAATAGGCTGCATGCATACCATTAGCATTAACTGGGCGTGATATATGTGGAAGTGCCATGACAGGATCTGGCAAGGTACCCCTGATATATTCTTAATTATCTTACATTAGCTCTACAGAGTCTTCAAACCTTATTTTTAAGCCTGTTATTTCAGACAGCTGCTTTCACTCTCCCTGTATTGGAACGTCTACTTTTCCGCCCAAAGCGTATCCTTGCAATCAGAGTGCTAATTCTAACTCCAACAAGGGAGCTGGCTGCACAGTATGTTACATAATTTCATTGTACTGTAGCTCTTCGCAGCATTTCTTTAGCTATTCTTTAGTTTCTTTCTTTACATCATGTAGATAAAGTTTTGATGTCAAATTGTTATTATGTATTATAGTTCATTCATCTAGGGGAGGGTGGGCCTTGGTATAACGGTGAGATTGCTCCTTTGCGACCTGGGAGAACAGGGTTCGAGTCACGGAAACAGTCTCTTTTAAATATTTAAAGATAAAAGACTGCATACATTGACCCTCCCTAGACCCTGCATTGGTGGGAATCTCGTGCATTGGGTACACCTGTTAGTTCATTTGTCTAGGGGAACACAATGCTTTGTTTCTTGGTCATCAGCATTTTATGTTGAGATGCCAAATGTCTATGAATCACATCCAGTTATTGTATTCCTTTCAATTTATGTATGCCTTTTGCTTGCCAGTTAGCATAGTTTGTATGGATGTAACTTCATTTGTGTCGATGTAACTTCACTAGCATGTGAGCACCGACATATAAAAATTATTTAGGAGCATAGCATATGTGATGTATGATTGATCTAAGTTAGATTGACTTTTAGGAAAAATGGTTTTGAGCCCTGTAGTTTTCTTTGTTTTGACATTTAAGATGATTTCATCCTTTTTTTATTGTGCTTAAAGCCTTTAAAGAATCCAGTTTGAGTTGGTTTGTAGCTTTTGAATCGTATTTAAGATTATATACTTTGAGGGAATTATTAAGTTATTAAAATCAAGTTCTAAAAGATCTATATGTTTTGTTGGCTAGGATTCTGCAAAGCTGGATGTTTTAGTATTTCAGGACTTTTTTGGTATGGGACTCTTAAGATTGTATGAAGGCTTGTTTCTGTTGATTTGAAAGTTGATTTATTAGTGGAATAAAATTACAGTTCTTTAGTATGACAGACAAAACAATTTACCTATAGCTGGACAGGGGCAGAGGCATGATTTGCATGGGGGTGCAACTCTCAGTGAGCTTATAAAAGACTCAAGATTGTGTATCTTGTAGATTGAAAATGGAATATATGCTTAAAGAACTTACATTAGTAAAGATCATTTAATTTTTAGGATGTATTGTTTTTAACTGTTTTATTGTTCTTGAAATAGGATTAGAATGTGGTCCAAAATGTATTATTATCACAAAATGGAAACTTGGTCTAATGTTCGAACTCAGTATCTGATATCTTTCCTAATGTTATGTTTCAATATATGTTTTTAAGAATTACTGGTTTACAAACATATCATTTTTAGTTTGGAAAATAAGATGGAGGGGTCGAACAGGAAAGGTCATAAGTCAATGTGCATTGTGCATGATTGATTGGCCGTCTTGACAATATGCTTGTAACTGGCTCTGGGAGAGCAATTTTTATCCATTTTTTGAAATTGATGAAATCACATGGCTGGTTGGAGCCTACTTTGTAGTTGGTTCACATAAAAGCTTGTCATCTGTCGTCATGGAAGAGATCTTGGAGCTGTATTATACTTGGGAGCATTTTCCTTGAACAGATAAGAGAGGCAAATTTATTGGGATAAACAGAGTGCTAGTTGGTTAGATTTGTTAGTAAGGTGACTATCTCAGTTCTCTGTTGTTTCGACTTTCATGGAGTCTTGTGTTACCATAGTCTCATGAACAGCTCACCGAAAAGCTTCTTGTATTATAGTCATGGAGGATATCTGGGCCTCATGCTTTACTTCGGAGCATTTTGTTCTAATTGATAATACAGATATATGCATGAGAGAAATAGTGTGCTAGTTTGTTCTTCTACTCGGTTGTCTTCATCATGGTTTTTCTTTGTAATTTAACTTACTTGAAGTTTGAGCCCTGTTCACCCATAGCCCCATGAACAGTGGTCCTGGCAATCTGAAAAAATGACAAAGAAGCTGAAAAGCAACTTCTGTTTTTGCTTGTGGAAAAGGAAATATGAAGTGTTACTTTAATGAATTGATTTTTCCATTAAGATTCTTTATAATGTTCCACTAAATTTTTCTTGTCATGGCTCTTGAACCTGCAGCAATACAGCAGCACTTGTGTTGTTAGTTATAAGTTCACTAGCTCGTGCAATTATAATGAACCAACTGTTGCTACATAATTAAGCAGAATTGATCACTTTTTACTTAATTGCAGGGTTCATAGTATGATTGAGAAACTTGCTCAATTTACAGACATCAGATGTTGCCTTGTTGTTGGTGGGCTTTCAACAAAGGTTTGTTGTAATTTACATCTTCTGTGGTTGTAGTGTATAAGCCCAATGTTATCACTGTACTCTTCTTTCCAAATCTGAAGACACAAACTAACAATTATTATATTCAGTGAGGATTCAAACATGAATCTAAATGATTATTAATCAATTTTAATGTTTTGGATGTTAACTTGGACTTGGAGTATTCTTGACTAGGAGCGGATTCTTACAATTTGGTAGCCAATAATTTTGTTTATAGTGTTATTTACCATATTCCTATGGGTGGAGTATCCATACGCATAAAAGGTGGCAACATTGATCTCAGTATATGCAATTGGTTATGTCATGCTGAAACTCGGCATGATTTGGTGTATTGCTTGTTGAATTTTAAATGTACGAGAAATATTTTTCTACAAGTTCTTCTTAACCGAACTCACTTCTCAATTAACATATAAGAGAGTAAATGGTCCATTATTTATGCTGTTAACCACTGTTCATTTGTCAATTGAGTACTAAAATTTTCTTATAGTTGAGGACTAACCTACAAAACCATTGTATTTCAATCTCGATGATGATCTTAGTAGGCATTCAGGGGTTTTGTCCATCAACAGTAGGCATTCCGGGGTTTTGTCCATCATCAAAATGGCATTTTTTTTGTTTATTCATAATTGGTAAGTTTAATGTACATCATCTACAAAATTATATATACCTATTTCCCTGTTGACTTATCATTGTCCACATTAGCAAAATTATCATTCAAAGTCATACGTTAACTTTTTTAAGATATGTAACTTACAAAAACCAAAGTATAAAAGATGGAAGCTGTATAGAAGATAACAATGAAAAAATAGTGAATTTCATAGTTCACTAAAGAAGTAACTATGATATTGTTAGAAAATTAATGGTAGTCGTATAATACAAATGTATCATGGGGTTAACTATTAACTAACTATTATATATGTCATGTAGAAGACCAGAAACCTCTTCACATGCAGTTTTGTAGATAGTGGTCTCCTGGCTACTTTGCTGATTACCATGCTGGTGAAGTATTAGGTAATGATAAATTAAAAAAAAAACCTTTATTTGAAGAGAGCACACTTTGGATTTTGTATGAATTGCATATTTTGACATCCCTTTCCTGTGGTGGTATCTTTATTTCCCTAACAGGTTAAGACTACCCTCTATCTTGTGGAATGTGGAGGTTAAGGTCGTATTGTATTATCTATTAAATGACTATTATTTATGTCATACAAAAAAATAACTTTTTTGCATGGTAGTATCTGATAATCCTTTCTCTTTTCTTTTTTTCACTTTTTTGAGGTTGTCAGTTATCTAGAGTTGACCAAAATTTGCCTTCGGTGAAGTTTGATTAATTCTAGTTTATTCTGATCAATGTCTATCTATAAGGTCAAGAAATTGGCTAAAATCATATTGGTCTTGGATGACACTCATAAGTACACCTCTGCTACCCAACAACTATCTTCTGACATTGGTTGCATTTTGTATTTGTCAACAAGGTTTTGGTTAAAATTTGTCTTCATGTTTGTTACATCAAGTTATAAATTCTTTTAGAATTGCTATTATATCATAAAGTTCTAATAGCATACTGTAGCTATTCTTATGGGTTTGGCAATGCTCTGGTCTCTCAGGTTCAAGAAGCAGCCTTAAGATCAATGCCTGATATTGTGGTAGCTACTCCAGGGCGAATAATAGATCATTTACGAAATTCGCTTTCGGTTGGACTTGAAGATCTTGCTGTTGTAATCCTTGATGAGGCAGATCGCCTTCTGGAATTAGGTTTTAGCGCTGAAATACAAGAGCTGGTATTCTCCTTGTTGCTTTTTTTGGCTGTTGTAGTCACAACTGCAAATACACCTCATTGCTATTTAACAAGTTATTGGGATTTGTTAACATTATAAACAACAACAATGTCACTGTAAGGTCCAAGATGTATGGGGTTGGTGGCATGGATCTAATATTGCCATTGAGTTGTATCGAGGGCATTATCACTACGATACTAATTTCAATCAGATCTTTCCTTTTAGTGTTGATAATAGAAGTTTTCTTGGGCCTTCTATACCTCTCCTTATGCTGCTTAATTTTAGTTCTCTATTTAACTGGTGCATCTGTAAGTCTCTTCGAGTATGCATATGCCTCATTAAGTGATTATCTCATTCTCTCAGATCATGGTTATCCTAATTGTGAGACAAATATTAAAATTAAAATTAATGTTATATATTTTTTTTTTCAAATTTTAAATATAAAAAAAGTGTTTGTTGCATTTTGCTGAATCATCTTGGAAGAACTTATAGTGGTAGTTGAATTATTTGTTTCTGATACATTGTGTGGCAATTTGGTGGTACCTTAAAATACTTATCTGTCTTGTGTTGATTTATTGTGTTGTTTGATATGTAAAATAGCTTCTATTGGGTCAGTTTGGTCCAACATGATTGCACAAATTGTAACATCGTGCTTGAGTGTCTACTAAGCTTTGATCTTCTCAATAGTGACACTTTCCTCATTTACTCAACTGTCGAACGTGATTGCACAATTTGCTACAGTTTCTCCTTTTGGTAAATGCTTCTCCTTTCACCATGGCTTATAGGCCTTGAAAATGCTGGTCCTTGCTTCAAGAGAGATCTTAGTGGCAGAAGAATGATTGCACATGTGAGCATTAAACAACTACTGAACAGTAATAAATAAGTAGTTATTAGGAAAAAGTTTGCATAAATAAAGAGAACAAAATTTATCAAGTAGTGTTTGGTAGTGCTAGATGTGTGAAGTTCTCATGGTAAGAAAAAGTGATCTTCTTCCAGTCTCTATCTTATCCTAGCATATGGAAACGCTTTCCTTCCCTGCATATGTTTTGTGATTGCATAATGTGATTCATTTCATTTTTTATGTTTGATATATTTTCCCTCTCTGACAACTAAAAAAGGAAAATAAGGGAGAAAAATGTATAGAAAACAATGACAACAGAAATATTGACTGTTGTCTAATACGACCGAAAGATTAGAAGTTCGCCTGCACATTTTCTTCAGGATAATGCTACTGATGGAAACTGAAGGTATTAGGTGATCAGAAAACTTATGTGTGTTAATGACAGTGTTACAACAAGTTGTTTTTATCTGGGCTAGTTGGGAATGGCTGCAGGGACAGTTTCCTGCTGTCAGGTGCCATTTTGGGGCATCACTTGGTAATTTAATCCCATGATAGCTTTTCTTCCTGTTTCTTGGTCTTCTTTGGCTGACGTTGACCTCTTATGTCTGATATAACCATGATTTACTTTTCACAAGAATATGAAAGGTGTACATGCAAGAGGAAACCTCATTGATATTAGCCATTTTCACTTTAGTTAGTGATGGAGCTAATGTACCAAGTACCAACTAAATATTTCAAAATTTCACACAATTTTACACTAGCATATTGACACAGTATTTTGGACTAGCATTTTACTAGCCTGAGGTTGTAAAATAGTGTTTTGCTTGCTCAGCCATGTTGTTTTATAATGTAGATACGGATGTGTCCAAAACGGAGGCAAACTATGTTGTTCTCTGCAACTATGACTGAAGAAGTAGATAAGCTTGTCAAGCTTTCATTGAATAAACCTGTACGACTGGAGGCTGATCCATCTTCCAAGAGACCAGCTACATTAACAGAGGAGTAATCTCTCTTTTATTTTGTTCAGTTATGTTTTGGCGATATGTTTCAGATTGTCTCATGTTTCTTTCTGGAATCAGTGACTTGGTAAAATGTGAATCTTTTAACAATTGGTTTTAATTTATTTAAATTTCTGTCAACAACTTCACATGTCCTTGTGCCTTCAGTAATTGGCTTCCTTTTCATATTTTTTGATGGAGAACTTAAAGCTGACAAAATTGTGATGATTATTGCCTTTTCTTTGTTCCAATTGGATAATATATATGATTCCTGATAATTTTTTAACGAGGAAGGGATTTCATAGGTCTAGATTTGATATCTCATATCTGAAACTACACAAACCTTTCAGATCGCTATACCTGCCTTTGTTCACCCAGCATTTTGAAAGGATTTCTTGTTCACTTGGCTGGTTGTATTTTGGCAACTAAATCATGTTAGCAAATAGGAGTATCTAACAAGATTGTTTATGCATCAAGGATTAGCTTAAAATTATAAACGTTTTTCATAATAGATGAACTTATGAGACACATCTGTTGTGTTCTGATGATGTTGTTTTGATTGGTAAAACAATGGATTTAAGCATAAAGTTGAACTACAGAGACAATTCTTAAACTAAAGATTTCAGTGCAAGTAAATCCAAGGTCGGATTTTGTGGCATTCAAATTTGCCAACAAGACAAAAAAAAGCCTATTTGTATAATTTTATATTATATCAGGCGTAGTATTGTTACTGTTTTTAAAACTGGTGTTTCATCATGCATGAAATAATATCTAATCTTTGAGAAATTTGTTTCAATCTTTTGCAGGTTTGTCAGAATACGTCGTGCACGTGAAATAAACCAGGAAGCAGTTCTTCTTTCACTCTGCTCAAAGACTTTCACTCAGAAAGTGATAATTTTCAGGTTTTATTTCATGTGACATGATTTGCATGACTTTATCTTGAGCACTAAATAATCTTATCAGTGGTCTCTTGCATTTATTTGGTAGAGGAAGGTTATGTAGGAAATGATTGGCCAAAAAAGCTAGAATTAATTATTCATTAAGGTGTAAACTGGAATAACTTATACGATTCTGGCTTAGGTTTTGATTTTGTTGTTCCTGTCTTATATTTGCAAATACAATCTGATATCCTCATTCAGTTAATCCTCAGATTTATGTAATAAGAACCAACGGGTGCAATTTTGGGTATCAGCATATGGACATATGATATGCAGCTGAATGCACCTTGGTACCAATCTGTTGGGGGAGGGATGGGTAAAAAAAAGGAAGAGGAAGAAGAAAGTGGAAGACGAAGGAAGGGGAAAAAGGAAGAAGAGGAGGCGATGGAGGAAGAGGTGTGGGAGGAGAAGAAGATACACCAAAGACAGGGGCAGCAGGTGGGGAATGGAAGGCACGCGGGCAGCGGAGGGGAGGTGCTTGCGAGAAGTTGTGACCCAGAAGCTCCTTGTGAACCCTAGCCCATCAGATGATGCAAGCATTTAACAAACTGGACCAGTTGATTTTAAGCAGTTGGCATCCCGGTTGGCGATTGGACTGGCAAATACCGACCATTCCGTACTGAACCAGACAAAATAAAAAACTTTGACAAGAATTCATTGCTATCTATAATTTCTTTTATTTGGGCATGTAGTTTTTGATGTTTAAAAAATGTATTTTAATTTTTTCTTTCTTCTTGTTAACTGGTTGGTATAGCTTGGCCTATCTCACAGTCAAGGTTTTTAATTTCAGTGGAACGAAACAAGCTGCACATAGGTTGAAAATAATATTTGGTCTGTCTGGAATGAAAGCTGCTGAGCTACATGGAAATCTTACTCAAGCACAACGTCTTGATGTGAGTAACCTTCTATGTGATTTATAATCCATTTCTATACGTATGCAATCTGTTAACTTTAGTTTGACTTATGAGACGTCCTGAAAATTATTTTGACTAGGAGAGACTAGGCTTAAACTTTTAAAGTTTGAAATGGATTTTCCGTTAAGTTCGACTTCTGCTTACCTACTTTTGCTTATGCTAACTGTGATCTTAATATTTTACACAGTTCTGTGCTTTTAAGTTTGATAAGTTGTTACAAATATAGTTTATAGACATGGTTGTTCCAATCATTTATTTATTTTATATTATGTTGATTTGTTGCTTTACATGGAAATGGTCACAGTGGACCTGGAAATTTCATCATTTTAATGCATGAATTTGCTTGGCTACATGAATTTTACACCTGTATTACTGATACCCTTACCAATCTCTAGTCAGATTGTGTGCCTTGATTTGCATTTTCATTGTTTCTTTATTTGTTTAGTTCGGCATGCTTTGCAGGCTTTGGAACAATTTAGAAAGCAAGAAGTGGATTTTCTAATTGCAACTGATGTTGCTGCTCGTGTAAGTAATTTGGTTAAATGTTTTGAGGGTACGTTTATTGAAAAAGTGCATGTGCTCTTGAAATATTCCATGCTTGCCTGTATATGTCATCAACAATATGTCTGTCACTTCTTTTTTTGTGTTACCTTGTTCTATTAGTTAACTAGTTAGTGCTAATCAGATTTTGCAAAGTATCATAATGACATTGTTCTTCTTTCCTGTGATCCTCTGATGGAAACTTTTGGAATCTATATATTGCTGTCCAAATTGATGACAATATTTTCTTGTCTTCTCGAACAGGGTCTCGACATAGTTGGTGTTCAGACAGTAATTAATTTTGCTTGCCCTCGTGATTATAAAAGGTTTACAACACATACTTCTCTCTTGTTAATTGTTACAAATACATCTTTGTTACCTGATTATTTAAGTGAATTTTCGATCATTGATCTGTCAACCATTTTTTCTCAATGTGTTTGGTTGTAAGAGTTAGAATATTTTTTTAAAGACATGTTCAACATGTTAAGTATGGCTAATCTACATGTAACAAACATATTAGAATTTTCCTTGTAGCTTTGTGGTGAACCTTTTTGGTTTTATGTCTGCTAATGGCCCCAGGATCCACCTCTTGTTAAAATCATTGTATCTATATGACTTCAAGATAATAATGTTTATGGCCATTCGACCCGTAGCTTTCTAAGTATGCCAATCTCCATTACAGACAAGTTTGATATATATTGTTTCAACCAAGGATTATAGTACCGAATGATACTGCCCGTACCGGGCGGTACGTATCGGTTCGCCAGCAGATCAATACGCGGACCGCTCGCTTTCAAGCGTATTGTCGATCTAGGCCCATATCGGTTGGTAACAATCGATTTCGACTGTTGCCGCCCTCTACCGAGCGGTATCAGCCTGACTGTGGCTTGGCTGCGACGAGGGAGAAGGCGCTCGAAGAAGAGGGAGAATCGGGAGAACCTCGACACTTCTTAATCCATCTGTGCCCTCCCTCGACGATCCTGATCCAAGAGGTAACGGAGAGGCGATGTTTCAGCTTCTTCTTTGTCGTGTTCTTTGCCAAAGGCCGAAGATGTTTGCGACCCTCGACGTCTTTGTCGAACGTTGCAGATGAGGAGAAGACCGCGGTCTTCTCGTTTGACGTGACGAGGAGAAGAAAAGGAGGCGACGTCGTCGAGTCAGCGTACGCCTCCTTTTTTTATTTTAATATTATTTTAATATTTTAATATATTGATTTTTATATTTTATATTATATATATACGGTGTACCTCTTGGTACGCTCCTACCATATCAAGCAAAACTCGAAACGTTGGCCGGTATGATACGAAATTACGAACCTTGGTTTCAACACTATAGGCAAGGTCTTACAACTTTTGCAGATTTCTGCACCATGTTGGTTGTTCTTGGTCATGTATTATTACTTTTACAATCTTATCTTGGGGAAAATTTATTATGGTTTCTGTTAGCTACTTTGTAGCCTCAATTAAAGTTGCCGAACACCCTGTCCATCAGATGCAGCTGAACTGTGCATCTACAGCTTCTCACTGTATGTGTTTTAGTGGTCCAGGTGTTTTTACAAACCACTGTCATGAGCCCTTCATTGTTTGGTTCTAAATACAATAAGCAGCTGCATGAGAATGGTCAATTATTACAAGCTTTTAACATACCAGGACCAAATATCAGGCATGTATGGGATCCTTATGTATTGGTATCAGTTATACAAAACCACAAGATCAATGAAGGATGGGAAAGGCATGGATACACAATTTATAAACCTTGAAGACAGTTGGGTAAAAGCAGATTTATGTGGGTGTCTTTAGATTGAGGGTTGCCTATGTAACATGAGTCCTTTACCAAAGGCATTACTGCATCCATAATATTATGATGTGGAATGGAAGATGAGGTTGTTTCAGTTGAACTGCAAATCTAGGGGGAGAGAGTTGAGGGGGTAAAACTAACTGAAGAGACTGATGGAAAGCAGAAATGAGTAATTATAGAGCAATTTAGAAAGAGATAAGAGTTAGTTTAGTAGTCACCCTTGATTTCACCTGCTATTTTAATGCTTTTATTGACTGTTTATGTAGCATGAATTCTTGCACCATAGGTGTCTTTCTGATTCTATCATGCATTTTGATTTAGTGTTTTTGGTTGGATTAGTTTTATTCTACTGATAACTCAGTCTGAGACTATTGATTCCAGTTTGACAAGAGTGCATAAAGACTGAGCACCTCTTATTTTAATGATGTTTTATGTGTTGTCAAAGACTGAGGATTTGTGCTCTGGTATTTAGTGAAGAATCAAATAACATGGTTTTAAAAATGGCTGATTATTATTTGATCGACCATCAAGCAATCCTGATTCCTTAGAAAGACCAAATTTAATAGTGGGTTTAAATTTGGAATTTACAGAGCTCTACAGTATGAAAAGATCCATGTGGTTCACCTCAAATGGTTTGGTTATTATATATCTTTGTTGTTTAAAATTGCTTAGAAATTTATTTGATTTGGCTAGAACTCACCAGGATGAACTGATCCCATAAAGAATCAGCCAATTTTGATGGGTAGAGGTCGAGTCTGGGTGTTTTTGGCATAGAATATCCATCATAGAAGTGTGATTGGCCATCGCTTGGAGGATGGAGAAGTGTCTAATGCAATGCAAAGAAGAGGAAAAAGAAAAGGATGAAAGTTGAATAGAAAGAGAATATGAACAACTTCTTGATCTGATTTAGCCATCAGGACCAGGAGATGCAGGAAGGAGAAAGACCAACGAGCGCAAGGAATGGGGACATTTACCACCTTGTTGCCTTTGCCTGCTACACATCTTGTCGTCACACCTTGCCCTCTGCTCCTGTCCACTTGTCATCACCTGTTCCCATCTGCTTACTTTCACTTCCCTAGCCCATGCCCTAGATCTGGTCGAATATAAAATGCAAGCAACTAATGTAGAATATTATAAATGCTTACATAGATGACATATTAAAAAATACTTTTGTTATAAAAAAATATTATAATGCGGCCACTGCTACCTGAAACTGGTAGTTGGGTGGATAAGCCATAGGTGAGAATGAAAGATCTATTTATAGCTATGTTTATAAGGTAACACAAACAAAATAGTTTTAATTTTCTTAAAATATAAAATTAGGAAGAGGCTTACAGTTACAATGGTGGATTGCAGGAGGCTACTGTGTTCATGCTGTAAGGTATTTTATTATTTTTATAGTTTACAATTCATATTAGAGGAAATTTTAATTTTATATCCTTATGATAAGTATGTCAAGTTTTTTTTGCTTATTTTGTGATTTAATATTTATTTTAAAATCCTTTGCTTGGCCAATTTAGATTCCCTCAATCTACCCAGTGATTTCTGTTGTATATTGTTTCACTGCCAGGCAGATCACAACTTTTGTTCTGCCATTGTGAATTATGGTTAGAGACCTTCATTAGCATTCGCTCTTAACAACTGCTCTCTATGATGAGACAATAGGCCCATGTACTCACGACACTTATAGATGCTAATTAGAAGAGATGAAATGAATACTTTTAATTGAGACCTTATGACTTTGTTTTTGTTGGTTGATAAACTATCCCAAGGGCATAGGCAATTTTAAGTTTGATATTTGTGACATTTAAAGTTCTAATTACTTGCAAATCATGTCAACTTTTCTAACATAGGAGACACATGGAAGGCATGACTCATAGTACCTGGACTCTTTGGATCTGCTGATCCATAGTCGGCCCAACGTGATGGCTTGAGCTATCATGGAATGGCTTGAGCTGAGTAATGGGAATCCATTTGGAATCAGTAATACTTTGGTCAGGTAGACATTGACTTCTTCTTTTAGTGGGTTATTTTGAGATGCCATCCCCCTTTTTTGTGGATCGTGGTAAGAATGGAATTTTAAGACTTTTGAATAGTGAGGCATTGTAGAAGTGTGGGTAAGCTAGTTGGCTTGCATTTAGAAAATAGGAGTCTAGGTTATAATAAATGGAAAAAGAATCAGGTAACTCTTCCTACAGGCCTGAAAGCATGTTCGGTTCTAAATGTAAAGTGAGGATTTGCATGGGATGGTTATGTTGGGAACCTACTTTCATTTATTCTTGAGAGGTTTTGCAGCAAAAATGAAGTTTAAGGCTTTAAGGAGTAAAAAGTTGATTTGTAAGTTTTGGGGCCTGTTTGGAGAAAGGCAGAAAAGGATAGTTTGAATTCTTGAAAGTTGAGTTCTGTAGTTGATATTTCAAATTCCAACTGTTCTTCATAGAAAATCTGTAGGTAGCAAAAGAATTATTTTGGTTCATGAGCATTTGGTCTTGCTGAAAAATTATTTGTTTGAGGCTTCACAGCTTTTATATTATTGTGATTATGCAGAAATAATTCAATGTATGAATTTCCAGGTAGTAAATTAGCTGGATAATTTGAATGGGCACAGTTTGTGAGTGTTGGGTCTTAATTTCATCTTGAGTTACTTGTTTGAAGAAGGTAGTTAGCTTATTTTGCTACAGTTTAAATCTGATGATATCCTACAAATTTAAGTGAACAAACACGTATAAGCATTTATATTGTGAATGTCTATCAGTATGGTCAACTTAGTAGATTGTTCTTTTTATTTCCTTTTAAACTAGCTTGAAGCATCATCACCTTATCACATATTTGTCCAATAATTCTCATGACCCACTTTTTTCTCTTTTTTTCACGTGCAATCATGTTTTTAATTGCAAATTAATGTTTCTAATTTCATGATAGTGTATATTGGTGATGTCCTGACATTGTGTCACAAATGTCTTGGCCTGAGATGGGCTCTATATCGAGTAGCATGCTGGCACGTATCAGCATGGCTCTCAGCTACTATGTCACATTGCTCTTCCTTTGCGATTTTTTATATGTTATGTTTCATCATGCAGTTATCTTCATCGTGTTGGTCGTACTGCTAGAGCTGGGCGTGAAGGATATGCTGTTACATTTGTCACCGATGACGATCGATCTCTCTTAAAGGCCATTGTAAGCTTCTACTAATGTGATAAGTTTTTAGTTTTCTAGAGAATGGTTTCAACTTTCAAGAACTGGAGGCAAGAAACATTGAGAAATTTTATACTTGAAGAAAAAACCCAACTACTTGGTTCAGCATATTTTCTCTCATATGGATCTCATAGTGTTCCACAAATCCCTGTCTTTGTAGAGCTGTGAATAGGATGTGGCTTTTGGTAGATATAGATATACCGTTGTTATTTTGGAGTTATATTTTGAGCACAAGCTCTTCTAAGTTCCATCATTGGTGGAAAGCCTTATGCACTGGGGCATCTTTTTCTGTTTGTGGTTCTATTTCCTAGCACTTTCTGTTGTTTGTTTAGTGCAGATGAATCTGAATTTTCACCATAAATTGCATTATATGCTATGCTAGAATAATTAAGCTTTAAGAAAATTTCGATATAGTTTTTTTCTTGAATTAACCTCTGTTTTTTTTATTTCTTTAATTTAGACGGTGTGACCGGCTTAAAGATTCTAGTATTATGGCATATTTAAGAAAACACTGCAGCCAAAATAATAGGAATAATTACTGGTTTTTCTTTATTTGTTTGATGTAATAGGCAAAGAAAGCCGGCTCACAGCTGAAGAATCGGATTGTTGCAGAAAGACCAGTTGCTGAGTGGTCAAAATTAGTAGAACAAATGGAGGATCAAATTTCTATTGTTCTTCAAGAAGAAAGGTCTTATTTCTTATTTCAGATTTACTCAGTAATAAGTTGAACTGGTCAGTAACTTTTTATTAATATTTGTTGGTTCAGGGAAGAGAGGGCTTTGAGGAAAGCTGAAATGGAAGCTACAAAGGTATACGCATTTTCTTTGAATTGTCATTTGTAGCTTTTGAATAATCTGATGTTAGCATGTATCTAATATGACTTTAGACCTGTACAAGACACTTCTCATCAGAAGGTTCTTTGACTTTTAGGCAGAAAACATGATCATGCATAAGGAAGAAATATTTTCACGCCCCAAAAGAACCTGGTTTGCAACTGAGAAGGAGAAAAAGGCTTTAGCTAAGGCTGCAAAAGTAAGTTTGTTTACCACAACAACCATCATCTGGTTGTCAATTTGATTCATGCTTCCAGGATTTCACGATGTTATGCTTTAATTGCTCCTCTCAAACAGTTGAAGCACTACTAGCAAAATTGTCTTTTTAGGCAATTTCTTTTTATTTGTGTAATTTTTTTGGGGGAGTTAATTGTGTGAGACTTGTATTCATGTGTTTAGTTTCCTGTTTTTTTCCCTCTTTTCTTTCATGTTCTGTTTCTTTGCTTTAAATCATCTTTCCTTTTGTTTCCTGTTGATGTAATGATGAAGTTATCCACTCTCTCGAAAAGATCTCATAGTATCTCTATGCATCAGTTCTAAATTCACATTCCAAACTTCATTTTATCATATGGAGAGTTCATACATGTCAAAAGTACTTGATGTTGTACTAAATTCTAACAACCTTTTTTTTAGATTTGGTCCTGGAATCCGTATTAAAATTTAATTGTTGGTCCTTTTGTTGGCAAAAATCATTCAAATCGTACTATTTTTTTATTTTACTTATATTTTTAGTCACTTCTTTCACAGTCATCTTTGTTGAGTGGATGGATAGGTTAGAAATTATCTTTTGTTTAAACCAGGCAGTGGATGGGCTAAATTTAGAGTTGCTTGGATGATTTAATTTTCATGAGAGGCTATTTGATTAATGGTTGATGATCGATCATTCAAGACTTAATATTTACACTGTCATAATCAAATTTGCCTTAGTTGTGGAAGCTTAAAAAGGTCCTTAGTTATAATTCTGATGTGTCTTGGTTTTTCCTTGGTTGCATCGATTGACTATGATGATCTCTAGTTCTCTCTTGGTTCATGCATATATAAATTTGTCACTTTGCCTTGAAAACTATCATCCAGTTGAAGTATAAGCACTCTTAGATTTTAATTTTTATGCCTGTAAGGAGTTGACTCTTAGGGCCTCTTAGATGTGTGTCCTATGTTGGGTATTCTTTTTGTTCTTTTGATATATCACCTTCTGTTTGCTTTCCTGTCTGTATAGTGTTCTTATCTCTGAAGTATCTTCTGCGGTTTCTAGAATATGAAAATTTTCAGCATTGTTTTGCGTGGTATCATCAAAACCATTCTGTGATGAAAAGGGATATCTGCATTGGTGCTCTCTTTATTTTAGATGCTTTCTCATTTTATATTGGATGGTTACCGGTTAATTCATCTTTCTCTTTCACACTCTTTAAATCCTGTTGTTACGTTGGTCCATGTCATGCGTTGTGATTCATATCACTCCAATGTTCCTTTTCAGGCATCCCTGGGTAAAGATCAAAATGGTCTGAATGAGGTAATGAGTTTACAGGAAGCAGAAGATCTGAAATTGAAGGAGAAAAGGAGGAGGGAGCGAGAGGTACACTTTCCTTCCAATTTAAATTTGATGGTCATGCTGATTGTTCATGTATCTACATTGATTGGAGGTTGTGTTGCATATGATGCTTGTTTTGGTTTTTAACAGAAAAATCTGCCTCGGAAGAAACGTCGTAAATTGGAAGCAGCTAGAGAGATGTTAGAGAATGAAGATAACGATGAGGATCAGGTCTGGTTGCCTATATTTGTATTACCGTTCGATATACTTTCAGATTATCTTGAAAATCTTTTTGATTTTTGGCTTACATTTTTCCACTCTTACGGATTCTGGTGTAATTTTGTCAAACGCTGAGCTGCAAGAATGTTCTTTTGAGATCTTGATTTGTATCATTTCTTTTGGAATCTTATCTTTTAATTTCTTATACTGCATTTCCTGGTGTACTCGAGGATGTATTGAAAGTGAATCAGGTAATGGTATGCCAGATTAAAGTTGATCTTTAATATCTAGATTGTGTCAATTCTGATTGAATGCAGGAAACTGAAGGTGGAAATAAAAAAAAGACAAGGCAGTCACTTGTTGATCTAGCTTATAAGCGAGCCAAATCAGTGAAAGCCATGAAGAAAATGCATGAAGCTGGGAGGAATTTGAAGAAGACTATCAAGTATAAAAACAAACCTGTTCAAAAGGATCAGACAAGGAAAGAAGAAATGCTCGAGTTATTCCAAAATGATATGAGTGATAAAAAACAAGCACGTATCGGTAAGAAAAGTAGCAATGTTTCAGGGCAGAGAAAATCAAAAAGCTCTTTTAAGAGCAAATCAAGGTACCAATGACACTTCTAGTATGTTTACATTTACACTTTGCTTTTTCCGCAGGAGTGCATGGACTGTATCCATTTCTTGTTTGCATCAATTCTGCATTTTGTATTTAAAATTGTTATATGCTAATGCTTGGTTTTGCACAATTGATATTCATAATCCACGGACACTTTGTTTTTCCTGAGTCAGATGCTTATGACATATCTAATTGTGGAACATAGATCTGCAAGAAGGTGCATGTCAATTCCTGTTTGTTGGCCAGCATTTGCTATGCCAGGATGATACTGACGCTTGAACTGTGGATCAGTTAGTCAAAAACTTTTCAGGACCATGCACCAATAGCTGGCGGATGTGGGTTTTAAGAAGACCTGAATATGTGGGGAAGTGTTAGAGTCATGAAAGGAAGCTTTGAAAACCTGAAAGCAATGTGGCAAGTCCTTGACTTTTCAAATAGGGAAGGACTCTTTGCTAGCAGGAGGGCCAGTATGAGTAACATTGGTCAATGCTTAAGGACTAAATAGTTGGGGGAAGCCTGCAGAACCTTAAATCATATGTTTGTATTATTTTGAATGGTTTAACCATAACATAAATTACTAATAACAAAGGTGCCCCTGTAAAAGTTGATCACAATTAGATGGGATCAGGAATATGTGGTGCTTACTCATGTTCTGCCTTTTTTGTGCTTTCACTTTGGCAGCAGACATTATCAAACAAGTGCCCCTTTTCCTCCCATTTGTCATCATAAGTTGTAACAAATTTGATGTAACTTGGTTAAGATCAAAGTTCAAAAAACTGGGTGTGCCATTCGGTAAGAACCTGTATTCACTGGTCGAATTCGAAACCATGGCATGGACGATTCTGTTTTCGCCCAGTTTCAGTTCATGCTGGGCTCACCATTCAGTATGGTTTCACAACCAGACATATGATCCGGTTTTTACTTTTGGAATAGGGTGCTGGATGGTTAGCCTATTCCCTAATATAGATATCAATTTTTAAAAAAATTTCAGTTGCTAATTGTCTTTTTCTTCATTCTTTCTCTCCTTGAACGTGCTCTCCCATCCTCTTCCCTCTTTGCTTTTACACCGTTGCCATGTCCTCCACCAGAGTGTGTCACTGCTGCCACTCCTACTGATCCACCTGCTGGATATTGGGATATAATAAATCTTGGAAAACTTGTTGAGTTGAGTTGAAAAGGAATCGCATGTGATAATACATCATCTAATGAGACTGGGATTCAACACCATGTTTGGATTAATGTTAAGAATAATTTCAACACCATCTTTTCTTAATTTCTACTTTTTGAATTTCTTGCAGGTACAAGCGCAAGAAGTAGGAGAAATTTGTGGACAGTATATACAAAATTTGACAGGGATGCTTCCCGGTCGGACCACGATTAAGGTTCTGCTCATTATTCAAATATTAATTTCATATTTATGATTTTGAGAGTTTCATGTTTATGTTGAACTGTGGCTGTGGTAAAGGATTTGATTTTCCCACACCTAGTTTTTATAGTTCAGAAAGTGATAGAGCTATTTTTCTCAATATGCCTAAAAGCTCAAATGCTGTTCAATAATTTCATGCAAAAAAGCTCAAAAAGTTGAATTTGATCTCGATATGAATAGTTCCTCTCTCTTTGAACCGAGTTTTATGCTATTCTGCTGCCAGTTTGCCTAATTAAGACCTTTCCTCCCTACTGTTTGTGTGCAGCAGGTTTGAGTTTTCGAAGCATCTGTTGTTTGCCTGAAGATGGATTGATCAAATGTGAGGGAGCAACTTTGATTCGTGGCTGTAGGCATTAACTTTGATTCCTAAAATGTTTACATGTATGTCTTACATATGCTGCCATGTCTTGCAACATGTAAACTTATGAGATTTTATCTTTTTCTTTCTATATCCTCCGAGATGGCTGTCATGATTTAAATGGCTATGCAGCCATCATCACATAACTATTGAGTTACTATGGCGTTAATTCTTGATATAAAGTTATAATTTTGATAAGCTAACATTTTACGGAATTAATGTTTCTCTGGAGGCGGCTTTTGAAAACAGTGTCACGTTATCCCTCTTCTCGTTTGCTGCATTAGCAACACAAACCCGATAGATTATCCCATTTATCTTTACGGTCAATGGGCATTAAGATGAATAAATGTTGATATTACTCGTGTTCGCATAATGCATTCACCTTTCGTGGGTCGATCATATCAACTTCTGCACGGATTGATTCTGCGTTCTGCTTGCATAATCGGAACGGCTCGCCATTATGGGAACACCACGTGTGGCCCACCGCTCGCATAGCTGATTCGAAGGAACATTATGTTCGCTGTGTCGCACGCGACAGGAGAATCCTCTTCTGAGCCTGATGGTTCTCACGTGTTTTACACCTGATTTCGTTGAGGTCGGCTGCCTAGCGTCTGTGGCCCGCGGGACCAGGCTTCCATGGACCGCCGTTCCAAATCCCGCGTGGGACCCTCGCGAGTCCCACCAACAGAAGCCCACGAGATGGAGATCAAATTAGCGCCCGCGTGGCAGCGGACCGCCACGCTGCCTCTATAAATGCACCCGTGCCTCCGCTCCCTCGAAGGGTTATTGCTTTCCCCATCCGGTTTTGATCGGGGAAACCCTAACCCTGGTTTCTTGTATCTTCGCTTTGCTCTCTTTCTTTCTTTGATTGCCTTCTTTATATCGCGTATCGCCTGATCTCGGTGCTTTCTTGCCCTGATTCGATTGGCGTACTGAGATGTCGCGGTGTTTCCCGTACCCGCCTCCTTTCTTGGAAGAGTCCCTGATCGAATCCATTAAGGTTTGTTGAGCATCGATGCTGCTGTGGTTGATTTCTTGCAGTCTTGCTCGACTTCCTTGGTTGGCGATCGGTTCGCCATGGGGATTCTTGATCGATATGGTTTTTAGCGTTGAGAAACTAACTCCTAACAAAGACGACTGTACTCAGTCTGTTCAATTGACATGCCAAAGCGGACAGTTGTTAAGTGTGGTTAACTACAATATGTATCGATTGGGCTCTCGTTGGGTGGAGTGTTTTTTCGGACTCTTCTTGATTTCGTTTCGATTTTGCTCTGAAAATCTGATAAGTTTTCTGGGTTAATGATGAGCTGCTGCGTGGGGGATTAGTGGAAACATGATTGCAACAAGTAGTCGCAGCTAAAATATTGATCACTGGGGGATATATAGACGACCTATTGGAATGGTTTACCGTGAGATTTTAATTTGATTCTTGTAGGCAGACATGATACTTCTTTGTGAATCCTTCGACTTAATAAGAAACATGCAATATTTCTTGATCTTATTGGAGACATGGACATGTATTTTGGTGACAGTTAGTTGTTAGATATGATGACTAATTGGAAATGTTTGGGAATGCTAAGTAATGTGAATCGATTTTAGAAAGAACGTTGGACTTTATGTTCATGTATTGGATTTAGATTGTGACCGTGTACACTATATGGTTAATTCTGATATTTACTTATATGAAGTTTAGCTGAAATTTTTGGAAGCCTATCATCATGTAGTTTTTCACTGGAAGAGTGGTTGTGGGATCTTTTTATTGATGTGTTTAGTGGAACATGTGTTACAAGGCAACAAAGATGTCTGGCATGGGTGAACACTGGAATGAGTTTCATGTGTGTGTTTGACAACATGTTTTTTTTTCACCGCAGAAGCCATGGAAAATGGAAACTTGGAGTTTAGTATTAGGATTGACAGAGGAATTCATTTTTGGAGGTCTAATCTTCTTCGGTCATCTTAGGCATTACAAATTTCTATTTTTCGTGCATGTTTGATTTTGTTAACTTTTCTGGTCCAGTGTTCTGGATTTAGCTGTGAGATATCTGCATTACATTGATTGTCTAACAAAAGGTTCTTGATCACTTATTTCTTAGTTTGGATTGATGGTCCAACTTTATCTTGGTTCGGACCATGTCAGTGGTGAGGCCTAACATGCAGTCGATTTGTATTAGTTTCGGAAAAAATCTCAATATTAGAACCTTGAGCAAGAAACTTTAGAACTAACGTGAATGGATGAATTTTAATTGTGATCCACTGGTTTCTTATCAATGTATATCAAATTAAATCAGATTGTGAGTTTGCACTGCCGTGGTCTTGTAGACAAATTGCAGTGGTAAAACCTTTTGTCAAACAACAATTATATGTGTTATTAGTTCATAGCATATTAGAGAGAAACGAGATTTACGACGAATACATATTCATCTTGTTGGAAGTACTCGCTTTTGAAAAGAAAAACGAGATTTGGTAATCTTACTTATGGGCATCTTTGTTCAATGTGAAATATCATGCTATTGGAGCTTAACGACTGTGATCTCCTTGACTGGGTGTCTATGTGATCTATCTTTTCCTATGCATTGCTCCTTGCTTTGTTTGCCTCTGTCATGACTGTTGTTCTGGTGCAATGGAAAAGGCAAAGAAAGAGGAAAGGGAAAAGGCAAAGGAGGTTGAACGAAGAAGGGTAAAGAAGGAGACTAAGAAAGGGAAAAGGAGGGAGGAGAAGAGGGAAAATGTTGAGCAGAAATCCGCGACCTCTCAGTACGAGGGCAAGAGCAAGCATGAAGAGAAGAGCCCATCCGAACAGAAAGATCTGTACAGCCAAAGGACAAGCAATGATGCCATTGAGCAGTTGGAAGGCAGCGGCCTTACGGAAGAACATGAGCTGCTGAGTTTCACTGGGCACAAGTATGACTCCCCCGAGAGCTCTCAGGACAGCAACAAGAGGAGGAAACTTGTGTCATCCATCTGTGGCCACAATAAGCATGGTCTTGGTAAGACTCGTTTCTCGTTTAGGTAGTCTTCATCTCCTTTGTTGAGCTTGGCTTACTTTTTACATATTGACGTATAGGGAATATCCTTCGTATCAAGTTGCCATTACGGTCTGCATCATCGAGTCGAGTAGATTTACCATTGCAGCCATCATTGAGGCCGCCGGCCATGCAAACAGCAGGACAAGTAGTAGTGGCCAAATCCAAGGAAATGGTTCATGAGCTGCCTGAAGTCCATGAGCAGCCCAGTGTCTCAGGCAAGGATGCGAAAGCAGCTGTGCCTTCACATTTGTCTTCCGATGTGATTCGGAGGAGAACTGGGCAAAGGGGACAGTTTGAAGATTTAATAGTGAATTGGAACCCGCCGCTATCGCAGTTGGAGTCTCTGGATGTCAGCAGCGAGTGGTGGCATTTTGGCGATCCAAAGCGGCTCTCCACTCCCTGTACCAACGAGTGTGAGGCCATCACAGTGGGAGGGTCGAGTTGTGGAGAGCGTAGGATTTCTTTGCAGCAGCCCCGAGCCTGCTACTTGCCCGAGTTCGATGCGTATCAGCTGCCATATGTTGTCCCCTTTTGAGAGGGGCGTAAGTATATCTATGACAAGGCTATGCCACATTTAGATTGGGCGTGAATCTGTAACAAGGTGATCGAACTCACGTTCTTATCTCAAATATCTCCGCTTGCTTATGTTTGTGGCAATTCTTTGATTTAATACAAGTTTAGGAAAAATAGTCTGAGATAGAGAAAAAGGACTGGCTACCCTTGAAAAAACCGGTGTTTCTTTCTCTTGGAAACCGAGTCAGGTTAGCATAATTGGAGTTTTGCGAAAACTGGGTCATCAGACCAACCCAGATCGTTTACTAAGACCATGAAAAAACCGGTGTTTCTTTCTCTTGGAATGTTTATGGGATGCCCGAGACACGACGCAAGGAAAAAAGTGTACCTGCATGAGAAAAAGTAAAAAATACAATGCATGATTTGCGATGGTACAATCAGATCCTCTAAGCATAACAGCGTAGTGAAGTCAATTTTAAAGATGCAAAAGCTTCAGGCATGATTATCACCAAAAAAAAGAATCAAAATTTCAGGAAAAGTCTCATCTTATTTTACAGAGGTGTTCCCTTTTTCATATTTTACGAGGAACACCTCCTGTTTACTAATCCTCAAATGCCTCTGACAAGATAATTGGAGCACCATTCTGATTGGTCGATAAGGTAAACTAATTTAGTCCACCATCAACACTATCAGACATCTTTCACTAAAACACTGAAAGACTATTAATTGATAGGAATATACTATCAGTCAATCATCATCCAACATATAATCATCACATTAAATCATTGGTGAGAGGAAGAAATCTAAGTCATCTCCCACCCATTACAAGACAGATAGTTGAAGGTTGTCTCCCCCTTACAGCCCACATGGACAAGATGCAAGGAGACATTAGGACGATTAGAGGTTGTCCCCCCTCTAAGGCTAGGTATAAAAACACGTCCCCAACAAAATAACAGGGGAGGTCTTTACTTATAACTACTAACTCGGACATTTACTTGGAGTTACTAACTTGATTGTCGGAGGGATCGGGCCGAGAAACCTCTCATGACCTCGGTCTATGTAGAAAACACCTCAAGTGCTCGATGTTTCCACCTCGAACAACCCTACGCATACAGGTCCAGATCATATCGGGCTGATCAAGACGTCAACGGTTCTTTCCACTAATATTTTTGGTGCTAGAAGGAAGGCCCGATGTCACAGGAAAGTCCGCCTACCAACCCTCCCAACGAACACTCGAGCGAGGAAGTTTTGCCCTCGACCCATAATACTTTCACTCAAGGGGGGCAACAACCACCCTTTCCGCACGTGGATGCATCCACCTCGACGGAAACGCCCATGCGATATTGGCGTCTGTTCAATGACTCGAGCCTCATGCCTCCAAGAGCGACCTCAAGCCACTTGCTCATCCCTGCTACGGTGTTCTAAACCTCACCCAACAGTCATAGATGCTAATGAGCATGATGCAAGCTGTCGCTTTGCTCTTGCCCCAATTAGCCCAACAGGCAACGCCACCATCTTAGCCGCGGTCAACAGCTCAACCGCCATTGACATCGATGCCCGTTAGGGTCCCCTCACTCGACGCAATGTCAACATCTCAAGAGCGCCCGAGGCCCATCAAACTGTCAATCGAGGGAGCACCCTACTCCCTAACCGTAGAGTTCAACGAACCGTTGCACCACGACTTTGCTCCACCTAAGTCCGAGACCCAATCAGTAGATTTGGCGAATGATTCCCTAAGGATCCAACTATGGCAAATGGACCGATGTTTGGAGGAGATGCGATGAGAGTTCCAACAATTCAGAGGGGAAGGGCCGATCGATCCCCACCTCGGGTCAATCATCATTCACCTAGAACATCTAAGAGGAGTCGATCCTGACAAACTTTCACCTCCCATCAATGGAGACCTTTGATGACAGTACTGACCCAATGGAGCACATCGTTGCTTTTTGTGCCCAAATGTCATTGTATGACACTTCAGATGCCCTATTGTGTCACGCCTTTCCGACTACGTTAAGAGGCCTAACACAAAAATGGTACACTCGTATCGTGCCTTCCTAAGCACATCGTTGCTTTTGCTCAGCTTGCAAGGGAGTTCGAACTTCACTTTCTCAAGAATGTGTGCACGAGGCCATTAGTGACAATGCTTCTCGAACTTAGGCAAGGGAGGAGAAAATGCTCTCGGACTTCGTCGCTCGGCTCACCAATGAAATTCGAGGCATAAAAGATGCTTATCTATCATTCGTAATATAGGCCTTCATGATGGGACTCGTCTTTTCTAGTCGTTGGTAGAGAGGTTACCAACGACTTACCCGAGATACTACAAAGGGCCAATCATCATATTTTCGTTGAGGTAATGGTCTCCGGTAAACGTGAGGAAGCACACAAAAGGATGAGATAGGAGCGACTACAATCCGCCCCAACCTCGAGGTCACCGCGGTGAGGAAGCGAACAACCCGAGTTCCCTTGCTTGAGGTCTGAGCTAATCACTTTGAATATGACTAGAACCGAAGTCTTTTTGCAGATAAAAGAGAATAGGATCTTAAAAGACCTTCAACCGATGAAGACTTCATTGGCGAAGAAAGACAAATCCAAATACTATTGCTACCATCGGGATTACAATCACGACACGAAAGATTGTCGTGACATGAAAAAGCATACTGAAGAACTCATTTGTCGGGGACACCGCGGGCGATTTGTTTGGAGGCATCGGGAACCTTCACATTGACCTTAAGGACTGATAGAGAGACATATTGACATCATCATTGGTGGACCCGCCTTCGGAGGATATAGCTTCCCGAGTTATAAAGCTTACGCCCGAGCTACCAATGAAAAAAAATTTAGGACGAGGGACGAACCAGAAATAACTTTCAAGGAGAAAGAGACAATGTACCTCGACCCGAATCATGATGATGCCTTGGTAGTCTCCGTGAGGATGATCAACGCTCGAGTGAAGAGGGTCATGATTGATATAAGTAGCTTTGCTAATGCCCTCTACTTTGATGTTTCCAAAAACTCAAGCTCTCGACTAACAACCTCACCCCTATGACTTCTTCGCTAACGAGGTTCACTAGCGACTCAACCTCCCCTCTTGGAGCTGTGACCTTGCACGTCACATTTGGGGACGAGTCGTGCTAAAAAATGGTGATGATCAAATTAATAGTGGTCGATATCCCCTCGACATATAACGCAATCATAGGTTAGCCCTCGCTAAACAAGCTAAGGGTGATGGTGTCAATTTGTCACATGGTAATGAAATTCTCGACGAGGATCGACGTTGGAGAGTTGAGAAGGAACCCGAGGGAGTTGCGCCAATGCTACCTTACGACCCTCTCCCTACCAAAGAATGCTCGACCAAAGGCGTCGCCTATGGACCCCCGAAATTTCGCCAAGTCCCTCCCACCTCCGGAGTTGGTGGAATCACTGATTAAAGCACTCATGGACAAGGCTCGTTTCGATCAAGTTGTCAAGGTCGGGGCGACACTTCTCGAAAAGAAATGAGGGCAACCCATCAATTTCCTTAGGGAGAATGTTGAGGTGTTTGCGTGGTTGCTAAAAGACATGCCGAAAATCGACCCAGATATAGCCCAGCATCACTAGAACATTTCTCCCGAGGCATGACTAGTGAAACAAAAGCCTCGCAAGTTTACTCCTAATCGCCAGCAGGTAATTAGCGATAAAGTAGATAAGCTGTTAGGAGCAAGGTTTATTGTCGAGGTGCAATATACCGCTAATGGCTCACTAGTGTTGTACTTATTAAAAAGTATAATGAAAACTAAAGGATGTGTGTTGATTATACTGATCTCAACAAAGCATATTTGAAGGACAACTATCCTCTTCCTCGAATTGTTTAGTTGGCTGATGCTACCTCGGGTCACGAGCTCCTCACCTTTATAGATGTATTCTCGGGATATAACCAAATAATAATGGCACTAAAGGATTAAGAACACACTTCCTTTATCACCGACCGAGACACGTATTGATACCGAGTCATGTCATTCGGGTTGAAAAATGAAGGGGTGACGTATCAAATGATGGTGAATAAGATGTTCAAGCACCAGATCAAGTGGAATGTTAAAGTGTTTGTAGATGACATGATAGTCAAAAGCAGAACGACTAACTCACATTTGACAAACTTGGTCGAGACAGTTTAAGTTCTAAAGAAGTTCAACATGAGCCTTAATCCGACCAAGTGCGCCTTCGGAGTCAGCTCGAGAAAGTTCCTCGAATTCATCGTGCACCGGAGGGAAACAGATGCAAACCCTAAGAAGGTGCGAGCCATACTGAAGATACGCCCAGCTTGGTCGATAAGGGAAGTCCAATAGTTAACAAGGCGAATATCAACACTTGACTGATTCTTATCCCAATCAGGTGATAAATGTCTACATTTCTTTCGAGCATTAAAGAACCCAATGGGCTTTATATGGACTGAGGAGTGTCATGAGGCTGAAGCACCACCTTGCTCAATTGTCACAACTCTCCTCTACCTCTGGCAAAACTCTTTTATTTCACTACCATCAACCTCACTATCAGCTCGATGCTAGTATGAAACATCTCGGCAGTTCAGAAGCCTATTTACTATGTTAATCATGTTCTAAGCGGACCCCAAGAACGATACCCCCTATCGAGAGGCTTACATTTGCACTAGTACTAGCAGTAAGGAAGCTCCACCCTTAGTTTCAAGGGCATGCCGTACAGGTGATCACCGACCAGCCACTCAAGTAAGTCTTTTCGTTGTTCGACATCTCAGGGCGATTGTTGAGGTGGTTAGTAGAGCTGGATGAGTTCGACATCCGATATGTGCCAAGGACTGTCATAAAGGCCCAGGTGTTGACAAACTTTATCTCAGAGCTAACTCCCTCGCTTAAGGCCGATAGTTATCCCCCCTCGGTATGGACAATGTTCATGGATGGTTCTGCCACCTTAGAAAGGGGCGGTGTTGGACACATCTTGAAATGCTTGAACAAACAAGTGTATGAGCAAGCCCTCCGGTTTGAGTTCAAGATCTCCAACAATGAGGCCAAATATGAAGCACTTCTCTCGAGGCTTTGGCTTGCCCAGAAGCTTCAAGTCTAAGACTTGATTATGTTCAGCAACTCGCAACTAATCGTGAGTCAAGAGGAGGGGAGTTACGAGGCCTGAGATGTGACCATGGCGATGTATCTCGATGAGGTGCGGAGATTAGCTCACAGTTTCTCCCGACTCAATGTGTTACAGGTCCCCAGTGAAGAAAACACCCAAGCTGAGCTCACCAGGTTAGCATCCACCCGACTCAATGTGTTATAGGTCCTGACTCAATGTTGGTCGAGACACTGCCAACCTGAACCATTGAGAAGCATGACATGTTCATAGTTGAGAAGGAATCGAGTTGGATGGATGAGATTATGTGTT